GCTTTGGACCGTCCTCGACTGCTTTCCCAGGCCACAGGAAGGGAAGCGGGGCTGCCGGGATTAGAACCGGCGCCCATATGGGATCCCGGGCGTGCAAGGCGAGGACCTTTAACCACTTGCGCCACCACGCCGGGCCCCATTAAATGTAATCTTTAACACTTGAAATACCTAATAATCCACTTACAAGCCCCAAGTATGCGAGCATTTCCCAAATGTAGCCTTACCCAACTTCTAGCACAGCTGTGGTGTGTTCAGACATCACAGTCTGTAACAGACTCACCACCTGCACTCTACTGAGGCTTTTATTTATGCCCTAAACAGGCACTAGCAAGTTATGGCCCGCAGAATGGATCTAGCCTCTCTTCTATTTCTGTGGGGCCCACAAAAGCATGCCTTTAAATGCCTAAAAACAATAAGCAGGAGGATACTTGATTATTTCTATAACTCTGTAAAAGTTTAAATTTCTTTTTAATTTTTATTTTAAATTTTGAATTTTATGGTACAATTCTGTACAGTCTGGGATTCTCCTCCCCAGTTCCCCACCCCCGACTGATTTTCCCCACATTGTCACAACAGTACATTCTTTCATAAGGAGTCACAGTTCTATCAGTCTGCTATTTAAGTGTGCCCCGATATTGCTGGTACAGACAATGTCAGACAGTCCATCCTCCCATTGTCTGGATATGTCCAACACTTTCACTGGGAGTCCATTTTTTATTTGGAAGTAGGGATGCATGTTGCATTGTGTCTTCACATTTGAAAATTTTAGACTTTCTTTCTTGTTACATAATATCCTTGATTTTGGCTCCTAGTTCACCAAAATAAAATAAAAACAAAACCCTATCTGTCCCTTCACAGAAAAGGGTTGGAGAACCTTGTCCTAAAACATGATTGATCTCTGTAGGGACTCTGTGTTTGAGACAACACATTCTCTAAAACTGATGCCTCAGAATCTATAAATGTCTACTAAGTCTAGTTTGCCAATGCTGATCAGATATTCTATATCTGCTACTTGCTGCTGCTGAAACACTGGCTGTGTCAATTGATCTATTGATCTAGTTTATCAATTTCCCTCACAAATTTTGAATATGTTGATACACTACAGCTATTATCAGTATGTACTAATTCTCCAATAAACTGAATAATACTTTAGCTGCTAACATACATCAACTTTATTTATTTATTGGTATTTACCAGAGACATCCTTTTCATCCTTTGAGTTTACCTGCATTTCTTCAGGTTTTAAGTGCACTTTTAATAAAATGTATCTGGGCTTTATAAATGATAAAATAATGTCAAGCTTTACCTTTTCATTGATGAATTTAGTCCATTTACATTTAATCACCTTAGTTTTGTCTTTGATTCTGTTTCTGTCCCTTTAATTTACTTTTCCAGTTGATTGCACATTTTGCTTCAGTCTTTTCAAACTAAAAAAAGAATCTAAAGAATCATACATATGCTCATAGTTAGAAATGTTAAACTTTCTTTAAAATTTGTGACATTAGTGGTTTTGTCAGATTTCAGGCATCAAGAAAATAAATGAATAGACACCAAAAGGGCATGAACATTTGGCTGTTCTCCCAACAGGGGTGATAGGTTTTACGTTGAGCAATGGACAGTGTCTCTCATGATGACGTATCTGCCTGAGGAGCAGTGCTTGAGCAGCTGCTCAAGGTGACTGAAGAAAGCTGTTCCCTAGGGACACTCAGAACCTTCTTGTCACCAACATCAATGGCCCAATCGATCACACAGTCTAACTTTGCAAGTACAACACATGCATTGCACTCCATGATAATCTTTACTAGTTCGCTCATTTTGCAGAGATAAAGCTATTTATTTATATTTATTTTAACTATGTAACTTGGAAAGTATCTGTAATAAAAGAAATATATATTTTCTTAATAGAGGGCTAAAACAGCCAGCCAGTTTAAAAAAAAAAAAAGTTTCTCTATGATAGCAGTAACCATAAAAAAGTAGATGGAACTGGATGTTTTGTGAATTAACTGGATGCACTGTGTCACACAGGGTGATAAGAACAGATCACAATCCAGGGGATCCAAGCATCAGCGGCCGACAAACAGCGCTAACTCCCCTTCCTCTGGTTGCCCACCCTGGGCCGACAGTGGAGGTGGTACTGCTCTACCAGAGTCAGCTCTCAGCACCCCAAGCACAGCACCACCTGAGACAGCTTCTCATCACAGTGGGTAAGGGTGGCACAGCCATCCTCGGTGCAATACTACATGCACTGTTGCAGAACCATTCTTGAAATGAAGGACTCAAAATCATTTCCTGGATAGGGAATTGTTAAAGCATCACTGGGCTTTGGCCAAATGTTTTGTGAATTTATGACAACGAAAGGCAAATCATGTAACAAGCAACACCTGACGTTTCTTCTGAAAAGAATTTTTCTCTGAATTGGTAATTGGTTTCACAGATCCTCCCTCTGAACTCCCAGAACTGTCTCTGCCGATGCTCCTGCAGGCGCACTGTACCGCCACTGCCTGGACCAGCAACCACCACTGCCTGGACCAGCAACCACCACTGCCTGGACCAGCGACCACCACTGCCTGGACCAGCGACCACCACTGCTGGACCAGCGACCACCACTGCCTGGACCAGCGACCACCACTGCCTGGACCAGTGACCACCACTGCTGGACCAGCGACTACCACTGCCAGAACCAGTGATTCAGCAGCACAGTGTGTGGCATCTTCTCACTCAGGTAGGAGCTGGCTCCAACATGGCTAAAAACAACCAAATCTCTGCAAAATGCCAGCATTTCTGGACAACAGCTGCTCTTTGGGTTTTTTTTTAGGCTTGAAGATGCAGTAACATTACGTGAAATTTGGAATCTCTTCACAAGACAGAGGTAACTTTAGTCAAACTTAGTAGGCAAGAGTGTTTGAGATTTTGGGTGCTTCCAGATTTGCTAAGGCTCACTGAGCACGCTCACCTGCTGGCCTGAGTTCATCCTCTGTCTTGTTTTGAGCATGATTTTCTGTTCCAAAATCTCGCTGGAAAGAAGCATGAGAGATGTGCTGGTGCTGGTGTGACTACATCACTGCCACAGTGACGGGAACAGGTGCTCTGGTGCCAGGAAGAAGCCATGTGGCTGTGGCACTGCTGGCTGGCGGTGTGAGCCTCTCAGATGATAACAGAATCTGAACTATTCTGGAAATACTACGAACTCACGCATTTTTACCAAAACAAAGAACAGTTTCTTGTCTGAGAATGCAACTGTGTGGTGGAACAATCTGGACTCTAAGCAAGGTTTGAGTTTTCTGGCTGTCCCATCCGTAGTTTACTGAGCCACCCTGCCATAAGCCTTTCTCTTCTGTCAGCAGGAAGGCCATTTCCAGGGCAAGTTCCCAGCAGACTGAGGGGACTCACACACGAAGAAATGCACCACTTACTCGGCATAGGCACTAGGTCCTTTTCTGAGCAATGACTCAAAGTGCTTTAGCAGCCCTGTTCTCACTCCACCCTGCAGCCTTTCTCACGGAGCAAGCCCTGCTCTGGTAAGGAGATCCCAGCATCTTAAAGAAGTCACTGCTACCTGAAAGCCAGAAACCTGACTTTGGGGAGGATGTTCAGCTAGCATGTCAGGTGGGGCGGCTCAGCTGGGGGCTGGGTGCCACAAGGGGGCAGTGCTGTAAAACACATTAGCGAAAACTGCTGCCTGCTGACAGTGTCCAAGTATTTCTAGTGTTCACGTCATCTGAGGCTGGGATCCCTGCCGTCTGTGTCACAGGCAAGGAAACTGGGGTGAGGTGGGCGGCTGGGGCACACACGCCTCCAACCTGAAGCCAGTGCCACAGAGTGAGGCTCCTGCCCGGGCCGCCTAGCTCAGAGCTGGTGCTCCGCAGTGGGACGGCTGGGCTCAGGAAAGCATGAGCCTCTCCAGGTCACAGCTTCTGCAATGACAGCTCTGCTTCAGGAAGGCCAGCTGGCGGTCATGGGAGTACTCCTCTCTCTTCAGGACACGGACGAGGCCTCATCAGAGTCAGAAAACATTCTTACGGCCCCCTTGTGAAACATGTCAAGTCAAAAGAGCTCCTGCTTTCACCCAACATAGGCCGTTTCCGTGTGGAGATCCTCGGCTTGCTAACCAGCCTCCAGGAGAACACCTTTGTTCCCTGCAGTTTCAGGCCACTTGACTACTCTGTACTGTTCAAACTTGGCAAGCTCTTAGCTTATTTAAGCAATAGTTGAGAGAGGTGAGGACAAGAATTCAGTCTCTTAGAAATGTATAGAAAGACAGTCACAGAGAAGTTATTAAGGGTGAGTTAAAAGGAGTTCAAGGAATCCCTCATCAAATGTCCCCTGCGGATTTGGGCTCCCAGGTCACTGTTTTGTCAGGCAGGAAGAGTACCTTACAGCCCAGCCTCTCTCCACGGAAGGCATGCTGTACCCTAAACCAGAAAAAAACCCAGATCAGTTCTCAAAACAGCACAACTCGGCAGGGTATCCTTGGAGCCACTGTTTTCCTCACATCAATAACCAAGTGTATCAGAAAGAGCTGAGCAGTGACAACAGGTGGCCCTGCTAATTGAAGCGTGACAGGACGGAGCGTGAGAAACTCCGCTGAGCAGGGTGAGAGAGTCACACAGTGCGCTCTGTGAGAGAAAGATCACAACACAGGGAAATGCCTTTCAAAGCCAGCAGAAAGGCCGGGTCAGGAGCGCTTCAGAGGCTCCAAATCGCCCCTGCAATCACAGCACCTGATGGCAAGCTCCATCTCCCAGACTGCGGGAAACCCGCAGAGCTGCGGCGGCTGGCAGTGCGGCCGGGGAGGAAGAGGTCTGACCTCACACCCCTTCTTCTCGCGCAGCGGCACATTTAAGGGGAATGGAAGCAAGGCTCTAATTTCAGCTATCACTGCCCCACTCCACTCAGCAAAGGATTTTCCAGGGCTGTGCAGCGCCACACCTCTGCTCCAACACAGCTGCTTTGGTGCTCTTTGTCCAGCCATCTGGACAGAACATGTGCTACCCACTCACCTGAGCCCCTCGGTCGTTGACCAGTTCCACGGACCACCTGCCTTCGTACTGAATCCACACAAATATTCCTCCATCTGCGTCGCACGTGGCCAGTTTCTGGTATGGCTCGTTCCATCTCACCAGTACCACCTAGGAGAGCACCAAGAAGATATTCACCGGGGTTACTTCTCTGAAATCATCCCACTTGAGAATGAAATAGAATCAAGGTAGGCACAAACGAAGTCTGGAGGAACAGTGGAGGGGCTCAGGTGAGTCCACACCTGCCAGTCTCAGGGGGAGCCAGACCGCAGCAGAAATCTGAGCAAACATTACAGCACAGCACAAACATCGTGCTGCCATGCAGGTCACGTGGAGGACCCGTGTTTCCCCAGCCCTACCTGGGCCAGGTCTGCCATGGTCCCTCACCTGCAGCTCCTGTGCTGAGGGCAAACCAGCCCCACAAAACTGCTGATGTATTTGGACCAAACTATTATTTATTTCAGTTTTCCTCTCAAAATGAGATGTTTTGTCTCTCCTCTCAAACTGCTTATTTCCACATGGACATATACTTTGGGAATATGCTTTTGGAAATGTACTTCAAGAAAAGTACACAGCCTGAGGATCTAAGTTGTTGAAGATTTGTCACAGAAGAAGTAAGAAGAAATCCTAAGTGTCAAAACTTACGCGCACAAGACCTAAATGTTAAAATTTTGATAACCCCCAAATCCAGACAAACTGCATTCACTTGTTTTAACTATGTTTTCTTTGATGATGTCAACACCCAGCAGGTCTGAAATGAGCTCTCGGGCCCAGGAGGCTCTGTACAGGGACAAGGGCTCTGGAGCGGCTCCAGGAAAGCAGAAGCCACAAAAACCAACACGTCATGGCTAGCGAGGTCAACGTCCCAGGCGCACCCCTGCCTGGCCTTTCCTGGTGATCGTGGCGAGTTGATTCAGTTGACACCTCTGTACATATTTATTACCTTGTGTTCTGTGATTAATGTTGAGTTGCAGAATGTGAAATGCCCCTGTCACCCTCGGGTAAGGTGAGAACATCCCTCGGAGTGGTGGGACTAGGTAACCACTATTTTATTCTAGACTGGTTGGTGGCTCCTCATGCTGACCTCGGCTTGCAGAGATGCAGGTGCCGACTCCAGCTGTGGCCCTGAGCTCTGTCCTTGCTCCACTCTGTCCTAGCTCCACGTGGGCAGCACCAATAAAAGATGCCTGCGACTGCCAACCCTCATGAATCTGAGGACAGAGAGAGAGGTGGGATTATCTTCAAATGCTGGCATAGTTATGACTACACCGAGCCAAATGAACATACAGCATTAGAAGCTATATTCCTTTGACCTATTCAAAGTAGTGAAAACTGTTTCAAGCAGCTTGCTTTCCATTCCCAAAGGCATTATAACAGAAGGAAACAGCAAGTGGCTGCAGTGGTTGGAGCTGAGCTGATCTGAAGCTAGGAGCCAGGAGCCAGGAGCTAAAAGCCAGGAGTATCTTCTGGGTCTCCCACATAGGTATAGGGGTCCCAAAACTTTGGGCCATCCTCTATTGCTTTCCCAGGCCATAAGCAATGAGCTTGATAGGAAGTGGAGCAGCCAGGATATGAAGCAGCAATTGCAAGATGAGGATCTAGCCACTGAGTCATCGTGTGGGGTCCTTATCTATCTATCTAGCTAGCTAGCTTTCAAAGGCAGAGTGACAGAGATCTTTCTGCTGATTCATTCTCTAAATGCCTAAAACCACCACAGCTCAGTTAGGCTGAAGCCAGGCACTAAGAACTCCATCTGGGTCTCCCACATGAGTGGCAGGAACTCAAGTACTAGAAGCCATCATTGCTGTTTCCAAGTGAAGCAGCACGGTGCTGGAAGCGTGGAGAAGCAGCACTCCGCCTTCTCTCTCCCAGGTCTTCCTCTCCCAGCCCTCTGGAGGCGGAGAGCTCCAGACCTCAGGTGTGATCCTTCTCTCTTCAGCCGACACCGATTTCCTAGCCTCATCTTTAAATCCAAAACTCAACCACCTAATAAACATCGAAAACTTCCATTTTCCTACCATCACATGCATTAACTCCAAAGCCGACCCAGTATCACAGTATGTCTACTTGGCTGTCTGATAGACAACTTGCACATCCTTAAGCTTTCTCTTGATTTTTCCCCGAAGGCTGCTGCTCCCTCAGTCCTGCTCTGTGTTCAGAGTTCCAGGCAGGTCCCCCAGGACTGCAAAGTGGGCTGCTCTCCTGCTCTTAGGCCCACCACCTGGGGAGGGCGGAGTGGAAGCTGGCTGGGCAGACACCTGGCAAAACTCCCATTGGAATGCAAGACTTCAGGCATCCTTAGAGTAGCTTTTACCAATAAAAAAGAGAGAGAGAGATTTGTTTACTAATTTGAACTATTTACAAAGAGCGAGAGACACAGACAGAGATCTTGCATTGCTGACTCGCTCCCCAAATGGCCACAATGACCAGGGATGGGCCAGGCTGAAATCAAGAGCGACAGTTTCAGCAGGGTCTCTGTGCAGGGTACCAAGACTCGAGACACGTGGGCCATCTTCCACAGCCTTCCCAGAGCAGTGGTGGGGAAATGGACTGACAATGGAGCAGCTGGGACACAAACTGGTACCCCTTTGGGATGCTGGCATTGCACGTGGCAGCACTAGTGTCTACACCACAACATGGGCCCTGTTACTCATTTTTAAAGTATGAGCTTAGCTGATAAGTCCTTTGCCTAACAACCCAAAAAAAGAATTTATGAATGTGAACACATCAAAACACAATAAAAATACTGGAGTCATGGCCAAAGGGTAAATACCTTTTTAGGCATTCTTTAAAAACTTTCAATTTTTAAAAAAAGATTTATTTATTTTTATTACAAAGTCAGATATACAGAGAGGAGGAGAGACAGAGAAGATCTTCCGTCCAATGATTCACTCCCCAAGTGAGCCACAATAGCCGGTGCTGTGCTGATCCGAAGCCAGAAGCCAGGAGCCAGGAACCTCCTCCAGGTCTCCCACATAGGTGCAGGGTCCCAAGGGTTTGGGCTGTCCTTGACTGCTTTCCCAGGCCACAAGCAGGGAGCTGGATGGGAAGTGGAGCTGCTGGGATTAGAACCGGTGCCCATATGGGATCCCGATGCGTTTAAGGCGAGGACTTTAGCCACTATGCCACGCCGCCGGGCCCAAACTTTCAAATTTTATAACAGTTTAACATTTACGGAGGAAAAACTGTGAGGACAACAGAGGACCTACCTACCTATCTGCCCCTAGCCAGTTTCCCCTATTACTGACATCTCACATTAGTACAGCATGTCTCTTAAAATTCCTGAGCCAGTATTAATACATTGCTGATAACCACATTCCTTTCTTAATGCTGTTGCACTTAGTGTTTACCCGACCCTTTTTGTAATGTCCAAGGATCCCAGCCAGGACACCACGTTACAGCTGGTGGCCATCATGTCTCTATACTCTTCAGACTTCCTTCATTTCTGGTGACTTTTTGACAGCTGTGAGGAGGACGTGGGAAGTATGCTGCAGAATCGCGCTCAACTGGGATACGTTTACTTGTTTTCTCATAGACTTTAAGGAAGAAGGTCCTAGTGACATTACCAACTATCAACATGACATTACTGTCAAAACCAGTAAGATGTGATAATCTGCGTCCCATCATTAGAAGGTGAAATATCTACAAAAAGCTGTAACTCTTTTTTTGAGGAGATTTGCCTGTTCTGTTATCTATTTAATCAGTACACAACACTTCTGAATATTTATACTTTGGGTTTTGAGACAGTGACTTTAACATTGCTTTTGCTGCTCCAGCAGCTCCAGTTGTGGCTAATGGAGTTCTTCTAAGTCGGCCCCCAAACCCTCTGACATACCAGGTCACCTTCCATCTAATCTTCCCCATTACTGTATGGGTGTGTGTATGTTTAAACATGTGCCTACACTTTGAATGTTACTTCCTGACCCTAAAAGATACTCTAGGTTCATCATATAAATTTCTTGTCCCAGGTCTTAAATTAGACATTTCCCTATGGCGTTCTGGTTCCACTTGTTAAGGACTGGTATTAGAAATCAGGATCAGACACAGGTGTTGGCACTGCAGTAAGACACTGCTTGGGATGCTGCATCCTCTATCACTGCTCGAGTTCAAGTCCCACTTCTGATCCCAACTCCGGCTTCGTGCTAACATGTACCTGGGGAGGTGGCAGGTGATGGCGTACAGGGTTGTATTCTGGCCACTCTTGTGGGAGACTGGACTGAGTTCCCAGCTCCTGGCTTTGACCTGACCCCGACCTAAGTGCTACAGACATTTGCAGAGTGAACCAGCAGAAAGGAGAGCTCTGTCATTCTTTCAAATACATAAATAATAAAATAAAAGAGAAACCAAAAGCGGATACTAGGCACACTCATTGCTACTGGGGTAGGTAAACTGCTTCTGACATAAAAAAATATTAACAGGATTGAAGATGAGATGGGCACAATGTCTCACATCAGAAGGTAAGGCAGATAGCAAACCGCTCACCTTCAGAGCTCCAGGTGGGGTGGGCTCCACTGTTAGGTTAGCTCAACTAATGTGTCACAAGCCACTGGTAAGATGACTCAGCATCTAAGTCAGCCACCAATTGCCCTGGGGGCCACAGGTTAGATCTCACAAGTCTGTCAAGTCACTTTCCACTAGCTGAGAACAACAGCATAAAGGTAGAAACATGCTTTCAGTAAACACTGGAAAAATCTTAGCATATTTATAGTGTAGAGTGACATTTGCTGTTTTCTATTAATACATGCTGGCAAAAATTCCCAAAACCAGAATTTTGGCACAGAGATAACTGCCTTTCTAATGATTTATATTCATCAATTATTTTCTCAAATAGCTAAAAAAGTAACATGAAGACGAAAGCAAGTCTTTTTTAAAGCATAATATCATACACTTTCTTTTTTTCCCATTTTTTGTTTATTTTTTACAATCTTTACATAGGACACAAAGGTTCAAGGGCTACAGGAAAGTGGGTAAGACTATTATTTTCACATTGTTTTTTTCCCTGTATCTAGGGAAAAGGGGGAGATAAAGGGAGAAGCCCCACCCAGTCTCCCACCCATCTCAGGTCCCTGACATGGGGCATGCCCCAAGGGTCTTGCTTAAGTGGTTTTGAT